GATCTGCTGCGGCGTTTGCCATGAAAAGCACCAAAGTAACTAACGAAAAAGTAAAATACGAGTTTATTAGGAAGGGTTTATTCGGTTCTCCCCCAGTGGAAGACAGAGCAAGGCCGCGAATGAGGAGGCCCCGGCTCCCGCCTCGCACGGGCTGGGCTCCCCTCAACACCCTCACAGAGCTCCAGACCGCCAGGAGGGAGGGATGGGCTTGGGTTTTTTTTCTATTTTCCCCAGAGGAGGCTGCAGAGCTGCCCGCCGCAGCGGGGCCGGTGTCCGGGTAGACCTGCCACGGCCGTGGGAGCGCTTGACAGCCGAGGAGAGGAACGGCAGCTCCCACGGAACAGGGTTTCCATCACCATTAACTTAAGGTTTGCCAACAGCCATCAAGATGGAAGACACCACGGACCGGGTTTCCTTCGCGTTGTAGCCTGCCCGCATCCTTTTGCCTATTCCGTTTGAGGACGGTCGAGTAAAAACCCACGGCCAGGTAGAGTCCGTGCTTCCACTCGCCCGGCCCACCGCATCGGCGGCTTCCAAAAAGCATTTCCGTACACGGATGGGGAATTCGGGTGAGCCGCGCACCGTCCCACCCCTCGCCGAGCCGTGGCAGGACGAAGCCCGAGGAAAGGGGCTGGGGCGCAGATATTCTCACGGCCGATTCCCAGGGGCAAACGAGCCCCTGGTGGGGGGGGGGGGGGCGCTGAAGGGGAAAGCGGATGCAGAGAGACCAAGCTGCGTGGCTGGAAGCGTCGGTATCCATCAGCAAAAGGAGGGAAGTGGCTCAGGTGCCAGCTGGAAACAGCATTTCGCGTTACAGACCTGCCTGCCCCTCTGCCTTTTTATTGCGCCACTGCAAACTTACTCCCCCTTGAAGCTGGCAGAGTGGCAGAAAGCTTTGAGGACACCAGCCTGGCGAAAAATACCACAGAAGGAATTCCTATACAGGAGTAAATTTAATAAAACCACCACCAATTGTTTACTTTAACATAGCTCTTGTTACAGAAATCATAAAAATGGACTCAGTAGCTAACTCATTAGTTCTTTCCCCTTTTAACTGAAAAATAGCCCACTGATTTCAACTTCTACTGCACTAGATGGAGTGTTAAATAGTTGCCAGGACAGTATGCCCAGTAATCGAGCCCAGAACAAACACAAAGACAATTCCATCATCTTTCCGTTTCAATGTTACGACTCGTTATAATGTAAGTGAAACTTAAAACAGCAAGGAACGGTCCATTTGACAGATGAAAGGGGGAGGGAGAGGAGATCCACAGCCGAAATCTTTCCGTCGAGTGTTTTGAGAAGTGGTGCAAAAATACCCCTCCTGTTCCTGCCTCTAGCATGAAAAATAAAACTATCCACACACAGACACAGCCTCCATGTCCAGAGGGCGTGTCCTGCTTGCACGGGCGGGAACAGCTGGATTAGATTTGGGCAGGTAGCAATCCAGGGCCTAAAAAAAAAAAAAAAAAAAAAAAAAAAAACAACCAAACCCCAAACCCAACAAAATTGAAAAACACAGAAAAGCGAAGCATCCTGAATCACAGTGCACACTGGCCGCTAACGCAATGCGCACCGGGGCAGTGAGCGTCAGGAGCTGCGCACGAGGGGAGGGGTCCGTTGCCAGCAATGGATACACGCACGAAACCATGGAGGCCATGGATGTAAAGGAACTGCAGGAAGAGGAGAACTCAACTTCTCCGGTAAAAGCCTTCCAAAAAACAAAAAAAAGAAACCCCAAACATATATATATTCACTACACCAGCACACACTTCCCCCACCCCATCCCAGGGAAAACAAAATGAAACAACAAAAAAAAATAATAATCAAACTGAAAGAAAATGCACAGCAAATAGACATAATCTTGAAGATTTTTAAAGAATAAATATTTTTTGTAATTAAACATTATGCAAACACGTGCCACGCTTGCTCTTTGTCCATGCATATGCGCTATATACAACTTTGAAAAATACTGCGTTGTCCTCTTTTTGTTTTAAAAGTAATATACAAAGGTTTTTTCTTTTTTTTTTTTTTTTTCTTCCTTGCTGTGTACCCCCCCTCCTCCCCTCCCCAAAAATCATCTTTACAATGAGCCAATGGACATTCATCCCTGTACCTGGGTGGCAGAGAGGAGGAGGGGGGCGGGAGAGCCATCCCCACACACACACACCCCTTACCAAAGTACATCAAAATGGCTGGTTTGGACATGAAAAGCAGTGTCAAGAAACTGGTTTAAGTTTCATCTGTACTACACACAGGAAAAGAAAGATAGAAAAGAAAAAGGAGTTGGCTTGGAGAATGAAGCTACGTTACAAGTTAAAGTTGGAGGTTTTTTTTTTTTTTTCTTTCTTTTTTTAGTGCATCTGTCACACACTTATTGGCCGCCTAGAATACTGTTGTACAATGGTTTTTTCACCCATCAAAATGGCTGGTTTGGACATGAAAAGCAGTGTCAAGAAACTGGTTTAAGTTTCATCTGTACTACACACAGGAAAAGAAAGATAGAAAAGAAAAAGGAGTTGGCTTGGAGAATGAAGCTACGTTTTACAAGTTAAAGTTGGAGGTTTTTTTTTTTTTCTTTCTTTTTTTAGTGCATCTGTCACACACTTATTGGCCGCCTAGAATACTGTTGTACAATGGTTTATCTACCTTTTTTTTTTCCTTTATTACAATATAATTTACTTAAATTTTCTGTTAACAAAACAGAATCCCAGTACTACAGACCAGCGGTGTAACAGGCATAGCGCCTCGTGTGTGTTTTTATTTGAATCGCATGAGCACTCTAGATGGTAAAAGGTTTCAGAGTTCATTTTATGCGGGGCCAGCCTCAGTCCTCAATGTACTCCCACAGGTCCTTCTCGTAGCCTTCATGCACATGCTGCAACAAAACCCTTCGTCGACTCTCGCAGTATCTGCAGCAAAAGGGGACAAGCACAGAAAAGGCAGGTTAGGAACCATGTCTCATCCCTGCCACCGAGTAACGGCTCACCTACGTTAAACCTCCAAAAGAGATCCCCCCGACCCCACCCCTTGCCTGAGAAGGGACTTTGTAGTCCATTAACAGCGCTAATTAAGACTTCAGTTACTCCAGTCACTCAACTCCAGGTCCCTGGCTGAAAAAAAACCAAACAAACCAACCAGCATGCAAATGTAGAGTTTCCTATGCAAAGGTTTTCCCTAAGCCCCATGGCTGAGAAACCTCCATTAGTAACTGAAAAAAGGAAGAAGCAGCAGCTGCAGTTTGCAAAAAGCCAGAGCACAGGGTTAGCAGCAACACCCAAAATGGGACGAAGCTCTCCTCAAACGCGGCTGGTGCCTACTCCGAGACTTATCAGGACAACAAAAATACAGGAGCTGAGTTGGGCAAAAACCTCGGGAGCGCTGATCCAGTTTTATTCCCCTCCAAAATCCCAGTGGAGATGGAAGTGGTCAAGCCGACTATGAAAAGGGTTACTGGTCTGAGTGGAGCGCAAGTTTTACCTCGCATTGCAGCTCCGAGGTCTCAGAGGGGCACTACACCCTGCAGGGTCTTCCCACCTACGCTCATTTAAACAGATAAAGCTGCAAATGAAACTGATCCCAGCGTTAGTCCTACCAGGGTCAATAATACAGAGGAAAAGTGGTATCATTGGAACGTATCAAAAGATGCCACGTTCATTTCGGGTGCGTTAGCCAACTAAAAAGATAAAAGCAGAGAAACGTTTAAAGTATTCATGTTCCAACAGCAAATTCTGAATAAGCAGCAGGCATTTCTGGATTAAACCCCTTGCAGCGGCGATGCCAAAGTCTACATCATCTTTAGGCACGTGGGGGACAAGACGAGTCTTGGTAACAGCCCCCAAAGCCCCTGGCGCAGCTGTGTAGCCGGTTCACAATTCGGCAGCGCCCAGCCTGGAGTGGTGGGAGAATAATGGGAGTAATGGGAGAAACGGGAATGCAGGAACTGACTGCCGAGTGGTCGGTTCCTGCTGGGAATTGTGCAGTTCAGTTTCAGGGCATGTGCATGGGCCAGGATGGCATCCGAGGGGCTCCCTGCAGCTGGGAACCCATCCTTCTCAGCGAGGTGCGCAGGAGGGATCCCGCAGCAGAAAGCCATCTTCAATTGCAATGCTTGCAAATGGGTAGGTGTGAGGAGCACATCACAGCATCCTGAGCTTGGAAACACCTCACCTTAACCCGCAGCCCTTACGCTGCTACCAGTTAGTATCTGATCAGACCGGCAGATTTATCTCAATAAAATTGTACTAGCTCTTCTCACTGCTATCAGCTGTTGCAACAGAAACCATTGTACACAAAGTCGCATTGATGTTCCGAGCACGTGACCGCAAACACGCACAGTTTCTGCTTTCCCAACTTCAGTTATTTTGCTGCTGGTGGTGGGGGTCTAATCCTGTTTTCTAGAAATGTCTTTGCAAGCTAAGAGATTGGAACAGCTGAAACCAAATTAGCTAGGAGGTCAGTTCCTGCAATAAACCCACCTCAATAACGGCCTTGGTCCCTCACATCAGCACACCGTAACCAGTGCACAAAGAGCACCATGTAGGACATTATTAAGACATGACTGAACTAGTTAACAAGGGACCTGCGCGGGCTTGACAGATGTGTACTTTCTTCCCAGAAATGTGAAAGCAGGTTTGGGACGCTGCATTTTTAGGCAAGTCAGGCTATATTAGGTTTTAATTTCTTCTGGATGGCTGTTACCATCCCTAGAAGAGCATCCAGTTTCAGAGGACTTAAGCGAACAAGCAGCTGGATCAGAGACACCAACTTAAGGATGGTCTTCCAAGGGTGAGTTGCAAAATGTTACAAAAAATGTCACAAACGAGAAGGTCTGGTAAGTCTTGTCCAGCCCCAGCTGCGCTGCCAGACTACAGCAGAACGGGTTGCAGGCCCACCGCAGCGTAACAGCTACTTCCACTCCCCTACTCGCTACGGCTCACCCTACTTCAGCTTCCCCCCCCCTTCAAGCTAGGCATAACAAATCAGTGACTTTGGCAAAATGCCTCAAAAATGCAAGCCATAATCCTGTGACTCATCTACATTTACAGCTTTGTATTTTTCCACTGCGCAGAAGTGATTCCCCCAGGACTGCAAAAAGCACTGGCATTTGTGTCACCTGGACCCCAGTTCTGCTGCTTTCCTCCCCAGCTGGGCAGATTGCTCTCTCTCCCCCTCTTCTTTAAGGACAGCTTTTCTACACCCACTTTTTGCACAAACAGACCCAGCAGATAACTAAAAAAGCTGACTGCTCTCTTTCGGCAACTCATCTTAGGCCAAAGCTGTCAGCTTGGAACAACAAAGTCACTCCTTGTTCTTTGGCCCTCACTATGCAGGTCCCATCTTGGTCCTGGCCATTCCCACATGCTCCTTCTGTGCAGGAACAGCAGCATAGGAAAAGCTATTGCTTTTGGTCACAAGATTTTTTTTTCCCTTATGGGATCGAATCTTCTAGCTACTGCTTAACAGAGGAGGTGCAAGGCAGAGCTGGGAGCCTCTCCCTGCAGGCTGTCGCCTCCCCCTAGGGCTGGTTCTCAGCAGGGGCACAAAACCATGCTGCCAGCATCTGTGTGAGGGCTTCAAGAGCCAACGATTTCAGGGGCTGGCACGGGACACCGCTGACACTGTTCTCAAGACGCCCAGGGACTGGCTGATGATCACAATGTATGGCAGAAGGCCAACAGCTTCCCAGGGACATGACTCTGGAGAACGCTGTAGCTTGGCAAATACACATGCCACTACCTGTCACACGGGATAGCGATACAGGTATTGGGGCAGCTCTGAGATAGAGGAGTACTCAAAAAAACCACAAACCTGTACTTATCCTGTACTTTCTGCTTTATGTCTTGCAGTGAATCTTGGGATATATCTCGCTCAAGGTACCCAGAAAGCACCTCTGTAGCATTCTCTAAGTCTGCTTGGTTATTCTGCAAAGACAAAAAAAAAAAAAAAGAAAAAAGAGAAAGAGGAGTATTTGGGAGGGGAAGGAAGATTTTTTTTTTTTTTCAATCCAACAGAAATCAGTACTGAAATAAGAAGTGGGATTAGAGATGCAGCACTGTGTAACACTAGTAACCCGCCCTGAGCATCAAGACTGAAAAAGCTGAAATTTCTTCATTTGATCAGAAGAGAATCTGCCTATCTACCAGCAAGTCTTACATCTTCCTTGATCTGCAATATCCTGGCAAGCCTAAAAAAAAAAAAAAATAAAAAAAATCCTTTCCTTACTAGCGGTACAGCACAATACAAGACAATTCATCTCCCATTCTGTCCCTTCTCTCTCTTTTTTTTTTTTTTTTTTTTACCAGCACTGGCAAAGCAGCATCAGAGCACGAGCTTTCACTGCCACTCCACATTCTGCGTGCTCTTTGCCGAGCATGCAGCACAGAAGCATCCTGCTTAGGTTCTGCACAAAGACTAGCAGCAAAGGACCATTCTGAATCATAAATAGTCTGTATGGTTCCACTTGTGAAGCAGATGGACCTCCCCGTTTAGACCTTCGAGTGTTAATGGTAGCACCCCTGGAAAAAAGCCAATACCAGGGCAGGTCAAAATGCCAGATTTAAGCTTTAATGCCACCATTGCCAGTTCGAGCTAGCACCTCAATCACTTCCAGAGGGCAGCATCTTGTAATTCTTACTTCCTCCTCCAGCAGACAATGC